ATTCTCGAAAGAAAAATCCTCCATCTTGTTAGATGAGCTAGAATAATTGCCACTGCAGTCAAGCTAATGACGTTAAAGAAGCGCTTCTTGGGAGACAACCCAAACTTTCTTCCTTTTTATTTATTCTGTCTTTGAGTTTTATGATAGTTTAGTTTAATTTAAATTTATTTGGGACTGATCATCCATATTATGTCTCTCCTTAGGTCTTCGATATGTTGGTTTATTAGATGTTAGAGTTAAGCAACATTTGTTCCAGTTATTTGATCTTAATGCTTTATTTGATTTTTCAAGAACATGACGTTGCACAACATTTAAACCAATTTTGACCAAGAAGCCAATGGAAGTAATAGGAAAGTTAGACATTGAATTACCAGCCATATCAAGGGAGTCTTTTCTTCAATTTCTTCCTCACCCCTTTATATGCGNAAAGTTAGACATTGAATTACCAGCCATATCAAGGGAGTCTTTTCTTCAATTTCTTCCTCACCCCTTTATATGCGGATTTAGGATTTAAGACATTGATGACAATGTCTAGTTTAAGTTAGAGGGTGGAAAACATGAGATTTCATTTTTTTTTTATGTGTTTAGTTTTCATTTTTTATGTGTTATTGTGTGCTTTTGTTGCTTTAAAGAAAAAATTTGAAAAATTTCAAAAATATTTTTTTATGTGCTTGTGTGAGTTAGTTACCCTGACTTGTGTGAGTTATGTGCTTGAATCATAAATTAATATATGAATGGTGAATATATTGCATGCTTAGATTTTTTTTTTTTTTTGCTTTTTAATGTGAAATTTGATATATATTGAGCACTTAAATTAAGTTAAGCACTGTGTGTGAATGAGTTGATTTCATAATTGGATAGGTTGAAATAGTGGATTATAGATGTTAAACCCAAAACCACTAAATTTTATATAATTGGACCAAATTTAGAATAGTTTGGGGGGATTTCATTGTTGTGGTAAGATATTGAGATAAATGAGGATTCCATATGTGAAATTTTTTTTGTGTAGATTGTCTAAGGTCAATAGGATGAAATTGGGTAAAAATTTCAAATTATAAGTCGTTTTTCTTAAATTGGTGTTTATTGAGGGATAATGTACTAATCAAGGCATAATTTTTTTTATTATTTTATTTGAAAGTTTCTCTTCGTAGCCTTTATGTTTTGAGTAATTAAACCTGCAAGCGTCTTTAAAACCAGTGCCCTATGATCATCTGACTTGGAGTCATCAACCGAAAGCTTGTTATATGGATCATTTAGAAAGTTTAAAGGTGAGAAAGCATCAAATAAAGAAAAAATTTGAAAAAGCAATTGTATGAAACAAAAGACACACCAAATGCCTTGGTTAATGTCCCAAACACTTATTCAGGAAAATTTGACTTTTGATAAGGTATTATTAGCCTAGTTAAGTTCTAGAGATTGAAACAATCAAACTATAGAGAATTCTTGTTTATTGACATATTGATTAGCAATTAGTGAGATTTATCTAGGTTAGAGAAGTGATGATAGTATAAAATTCAATATTAGTTCACTCCTTGAAAAGAGCGAAAAGAATAAGTTTGGGAGTGTTTGAAACTTATGAGTGATGAAAGAATATATTTGATCATTGAGGGTCGGGAATTGAAACGACTTATAAATTCATAATGCGATACGTAATTCTTCACACAAATATCGATTTTACATTGGAAAAGTAGATTTTAATTTCTATATTGTGATTTTGAAGCTGTGTTTAGATTTAATATTACGATTTTAATCGTGAGATAAAAAACCATGTTAGCTAGCTTAATATTTTTGCATTGCTTGATAGACATGCCACCAATTAAGTAATTAACATTGCGTGTTTGTGTATTTAGGGATAATTGCAGCTACGGTCCCAAACCTTTTAGATTTTTGCGCACTTTACCCTAACCTTTGATTTGTACCAGCGTGGGTCCCAAACCTTTAATAAATTAGCGGCGGAGGTCCATCTGATGGTTTCCATCCAAATTCTCCGTTAGTTGACCAAAGAAGTCAAAATTCATTCAATTTTGACTAAAGTAAAAAGGGCAAAACGGTACTTTTATAATTAATATTTTCCTAAATATTAATAACAATTAAAACCCCATTAAACTAAAAACAAAAATAACAAAATAAAAACACAATTCACTGTTCACCTCCTTCTTCACCCTACGCCACCCCACCCCAACCCAAAAATCAAACTAAGCCACCGTCCCTAACAACGCCGCCACCTTCTACCACCATCTCCACCGCTATCTTCCACCACCAAACGAAACACCCAAGATTTATATATTGGCTATAATTTTAGAGATTCTAGTATGAGATTTCATGATGAACAGATGACTACAGTTTTGTCAACAAATTTTACTAATGAAGATATCAAATTCAAATGGCAGACAGGCTGTGTTTCTTCTTTTGGCATAAACGCTGCAGACGCTAACCCATTTTTATAGGATGTGTTCAAGATAATCAGCCACCACTATGGAAGAAGAAACTCATTTGGACGGAAACCCCCAAATCAAGATAATCAACCCTTGTTCACATATGAAGTGTCTGAAAGTCCAAATCAAAACCTCCAACCCTGCCACCCTACGACCCAAACCGGCTGGCACAAAAACCATGTCGAATTTTCCACGTGCCGTCGATGGCAGCAATGGAAGAGACAACAACGATGAATCAGAAAACACAGTGGCGAAAACAGCCGAATTCTTGGTCTTTTTGGGAATCGCTTTGAGAATGAGCCCTTAATCCCCTCAACAAAAATCCCGACCTAAAAAAGGAACCCTTCCCTGAGTCAACTCAGATCCAGCCCCCATCTCAACTAGCTCAAAACCCCTGCCTCCAAACCATAACCAAAACCTCAAAAATCGAATCTTTATCCTGATTATGTTATCTACAGTTGCTGGCTCGATGCGTAAGTGGCAGTCGCCAGCTAGTGGGATGGGTGGATGTTGATGGATACCGACGAGTTTGCATCTCAAGGTATTGGCCAGCGAGAGACTGTAGTGGTGGCCGGCGAGTTTCTTGGTTGGGTTTAGGAGGAGGTGGGGTGTGGGAAATAGGAGTGAACAGTGAATTGAGTTTTTATTTTGTTATTTTTGTTTTTAGTTTAATGGTTTTTTAATTGTTATTAAAATTTAGGAAAATATTAATTATAAAAGTACCGTTTTGCCCTTTTTACTTTAGTCAAAATTGAATGAATTTTGACTTCTCTGGTCAACTAACAGAGAATTTGGATGGAAACCGTCAGATGGACCTCCCCCGCTAATTTATTAAAGGTTTGGGACCCACGCTGGTACAAATCAAAGATTAGGGTAAAGTGCGCAAAAATTTGAAAGGTTTGGGACCGCAGCTGCAATTATCCCGTGTATTTATTAGGTTTTAGTTTTGTTTGAGAACAAATAAAGATTCAAGTTTGGGATATGATAAGTGTAGTTTATACGCTTATCTGAGACTCTAAATTATGATATTTTATTATCTTTGGAATAAAATTCTATCTAATTTATGTTATATTGTATTTTGTAGGTACAACTTTATATTTAACGAAGAATTAATAAAATAATGCAAAATAGCATAAAAATGAAAACATTCATAGTACGATGACTAAATTGTAGTGTTCTAAAACGCGGCAAAATGCGCCGCGTAGACGCGCTAATGCGTGAAGCGTCGTCAAAACGCCTCGTATTCGAGGTAGGAGTGTAAAAATGCGGTCAACACCAGCGTTGACCACCCAAATGCACGCAAATGCGCGATAACGTGCGCAAAAGCCCGCATTCTTTAAATTTTTTTAAGTTTTATTTAATTTTATCATTTATTAATTTACATAATATAATATAAAAATAAATTCTAAACCCTTCAACTTCAGCCCATCAATTGACAGGCCCATGAAGGAGATGAAAATAAAAGTTTAGTTAGCCCATTTATTTATAGGCAAAATTTCTTAGCCTTCATCCATAGGATTTCGATGTGGGATCAGTTTTGGCTGTGTTACTCAAGCAAGAATTGAAATTCTTTAGAATGAAATTGAAAGTAGACGGCATCTTCATTTTTCCCTTGTAATTGGCTCGGCAGCAATGGGGGGTAGCGAGCGCGGTATTGCTTCTCTTTCCAGTCTCCTCTCTACAAGAGAAACAGAGAGGTTAGAGATTTAGGGAACGCACGGCTCGGTGGAAATTCCCTCAGGTCTGTATATTGGAATTGTGTGGTTTGGGTGGATCTTGTAATTAGGGTTTGGTTGTTTGTATCTGATCTGTTTTTGAATTGTTAATTAGGGTTTGGCGGAATGATTGTGGTTTGTGAATTGTTTGATGGATGAAATTCTTGATGTTGAACTCGGTTTAGAGTCTCTCTATTTATTTGGTATTCAACCGGGGGATTTTGGGCTTGATCTTCTATGGAGAAACTGTAAGAACATCAAGAAACTTCAGCTGAAGTGCTGTGAGAGTCTAGGAGAATACGCTACCTTTTCGGGTTTCCTTATGATTCAAAAGGGTCTTCGAGAAGTGGAATATTGAGAACTTGTAGGAGTATTGTTCATCGGCTCTGCCAAACTCCGCATCATCTTCAGGGGAATCTTCGTTGGGTTCAAGGGATGTCGGAAGTTGTTATGCTAATGATGTTAATAAGATTAATGGTATCAATAAACGCGATTTATTGGATGATGACGAGGAGGGGGACATTTGCTTGATTTGTTGGAACCCTGGCGACGGTGATAATCCCCTGCGATACCCCTACGCTTGCAGTGGAAGCATTGAGTTCGTTCACCAAGATTGCCTTCTTCAATAGCTCAATCATAGCAATGTGAGGTTACTAGTTATCCCTTCTTTAAATTTTATTGCTTTGGACCTGTTTGGATTTGAATTTTTTATGGCAGCTGCTAGCTTTATGTTTCTGACAATTGGTTTTATTTTATGATTGGTGCTGTGGATTGATGAGATTTTGAGTGAATTAAAATTTGTATAGAATAGGTTTGTAGGTCACAGTTTATGTTGATTATCTTGTAGAGTAGTATACTTGGCAAATTGAGTATGTAAGAAATTGTATTTGATCTNATAAAATCTAATAAATGGGCTGTTTAGGATAAAATCTATTTTTTTATGAATTAGTAAAAAATCTATTTTTATATATAAAAATATATTTAATTTCTTAAAAATAATTAAAATAATATTAAAAATACGAAACGCATTATGACGCTTATTCTTCGCATTGACACGCTTAAACTTGTGATTCTTGATTCTCGACCTCGACACATCGCAACGCATTACGCCTTTTAGAACACTGCTAAATTGACATGGGTTGTACAATAAATTTATTTTAAGGATTAACTTGCATTACATGAAAGATTTTGGACTTGGAAAGAAGAATGAATTTAATTTGGTATTGGAACTTACTAGGCCTCAATTTGGGCTTCTAAAAATTGGACTACACATTGGCAGCCATATTATATTGCATATATACACATTGGCTGGTGGGAATTAGGGGAGATACACACATGCAGAGGGCTGAAATTGGAGGAAACGGCGGCAGCTTCTGGGAGAAAAAAAAAAGGCAGCACTTTGTTATATATATACAAGAATCCGGCAGCTTGGGGAGAAAAAAAAGGGCAGCTTCTGGAAAAGAAAATTGAGGTTGAAATTTATTTATAAACACGCATGACGGAGGCTGCTAATTGGGAGAAAACAAGGCTGAAATTTATTTATATACACGCACCAAACGAAAGGAGACGGCACACACGAGAAGCTTCACATTTCGTTAATTTTTGGTGATGTCGTTCCACTTTTGCGTGTTTAATTTTAACGTTATGAGTGACTAAATACTTTTATTGTTAGGATAGATGATATGGCTTGAGGTTTTTATTATATGTTTAATTTCAAGATTTTCATGATCCATACAATTTATTACTTGTCACGATCCGTACACTTGCGGGATCTCACGAACACCCTTTACCTTTACATTTAACGAGTGGAATATTTTTTACCTGGTTAATAGTTTTGATGGTATTTGTACCTCATTTGAAACTATGTATCTATCTATTCAATTGTTTCTGATGTCGAGTGTACGAACTTGAAGCTTTCCCTTAAAAGGTACTAGGAATGAGATCGTCATTTTGTTGCCCACGATACAATGCTTAAGGTCTAATTAGCATAGGATGTGGATAAGAGAAGTTATTATTTTGTTCAGCCTGGTTGCTTATAATTATCGGTATTTTGTTACATGTCACATAGTATTAAGCCAGGCCCTATGTGCTTTCCTAGTACTTTCTAAACTTTAGTTCCATAGAAAACAATATTTCAGTAAAAGCATAAGTATTTCAGTATTTATTAAAAGTTCCTATTTATCACAAAGTACATTAAGTGAAGATATTCCTTCACGAATGTTATGAAATGGTCGTTGTCCACTATGCTTAGCGGCAATTCAGTACCAGCAACGAACTCCACCATTCCTTCACGGGTTTTTTTTCCTCTGAATACATCCGTATGCTAAATTTTGTATAATAGGTACCGGAAGAAGGAGTACCAAATTGCAGTTGTGTTTGATATCCACTAAAAAGCCGATGTTTGGCAGTACATTTGAGGCAGCAACGGTTAAGGTGAGTAGTACCGATACTCTTTTGCCATATCAATCATGTTTGGAAATATTTTACACATTACTTTACACTCTTGAACCTGTTGAAATCAATTTAAAGTATTCCCAACACTTTGCAGATTTTTTTCCCTTTTGCTTTTCTCTTGCATTGGGAATTTCTATTTCCAGTTCGGGAACAACTTCATTAGTGTCATTCAAATCAATTGGATTATTATTTCAGTGAGCATCGTCAATGCGCATTCTCCACAAATTGTCAGGAATAGGGATTTCGTTGAGACCAGAAAATTCATTACAAAATTGAAATTGTGGTGTCATATGTGAGGTTCCATCGAACAAGCCGCAACAAATGTATTAGGATCTATGTGTATGTAATAGAATAGAAATGTATAAAGATAAAGTAAAATTATAGTGGAGAATGTAATTTGAATGAGGATGAAATGTATAAATTGAATAATATAGAATGTATTATGTAGTGTGGAGACTTGTTTTGAGAGAATATAGATAATAGAATTGAATGTAATAAATGTGTATGTGTATGTAATAGAATTGATAGCAATTTGATATTTTGATTGTAGAGAGAATGTAGAAGAGAGTTGATAGCTTGTGTGAAAAATGAATTGAAGTTGTGAAGTATTTACGGAGTTAAAAAAAAAAAATTAATTCAGTTACTGTTGGAGGACTCCAACAGCCAAATATAAAGTTTTGTGACCGATTTAAATGGTCACAAAACTTGGAAAAAATGATAGTTTGGAAACTTTTTATCATTTGGCTCGGCGTGCTACAAGCTAGCTCATGGACATTGTCCACAAGTCGTTCGCCTAAAACGGTGAGCCAACAAGACTCGGCTAGCCTATCGATCCTCGTGCTTGACTAGTCCCAAAACAAGTCCGAGCTGCCCATGGATCAAACCCCGACAAGTCGAGCCGACAAGCTACTTGGTTCTATTGCCTTGATGGTACCTCAATATGATCTACAAGTTTAGAGCAATGATTTTATAATGAAATTTCTCTCTTAATAAATGATACAAATGAATTAACACTACAACAAAAATAGTCATTTGCAACACTAAAAAGACAACATTTGTTGACAAATGTTGCCAAAGGGGTCTTTGGCAACATTTTAGTTAATGAATGTTGCCATAGGTATTAATAAATGAGTTTTGGCAATGTTTTTTAAAAAATTGTTGCAGTAAACACCTTTAACAACGTTTATTAAGTGTTACAGAAGGTTTTACCTTTCGCAACGTTTATCAACGTTGCGAAAGGTGAGACTTTACGTTGCGAAAGGTGAGACTTTTCGGGAACGTTTGATAAACGTTGCGAAAGATGCCCTTTGGTAACGTTTGGTGAACGTTGCGAAAGATGCCCTTTGGCAACGTTAGGTGAACATTGAGAAAAGTCTCACATTTTGCAACGTTTGATAAACGTTGCTAAAACTTTTATATTTTTTTAAATATACGCTACCCAAATTAACCTAACCTTATATTCGTTCCTCTAGCCGCCGACTATGGAGCAATTTTTAGCCACTTTCCGGCCTCTAGAACCGCCTGACATTGGTACCAAGATCACCTCCTCAACATCCTCTACAATTCCCACCGAACATCTTCCAGTATCATCAACTCACTTGGTTGAAATCAGGAATCAAAACCAACAAGCCGAAACTGCACAAACTGCCGGATTCACCTCCTGCGGCCACCACCTTGATCTCGGACCACTTCTGGTCGATTGTCCATGTCCAGGTAACTCTGAATATCACCTCAATTTGGTCCAAACAACTGTAGCTCGAACTGAATTAAACCCAAAATATGCGCCAGTCGTCATGTATGTTTTATTTCTTCTTCCAATTTGTTATTTTACTGAATTCTTTCAGAGTTTGTTGTGGAACAATTTGATTAAAATGAGTAAAGGAGGAGCAGCAGGCGGCGCTATGAAGGGAGGGAAGAAGAAGGCATCTACCTTCGTGATTGACTGATCGAAGCCGATGGAGGATAAGATCATGGACATTGCTTCTCTGGAAAAGTTCCTCCAATAACGCATTAAGGTCGGCGGCAAGTCCGGTGCCCTCGGTTGCTCTGTTACTGTCACTCGCGACAAAAAAGATTACCGTCGTTGCCAATGAGACCAGCTCTTCCAAGCGGTAACTCTATAATTTTAGTAATTTTAAATTGATTGTGCTTTTTTAGAACTGTTATTTGATGGGGAATGAGATTTGACAAAATATAGATTCAGTGCGTTGAGAGTTGAGCACAAGATAAGAGAAAGCAGTTTATCTGATGTTTGAATAAATTTTTCAATATTGTGCTAAAGTAATAGCCATCTGTTTATGCCCGTAAGAATTGGACATTACGTCTCACTAAGATACAATGTTATTGGAATGCTAATTTATAATTATCAACGAATCTTGAGGAAAAGGTTGCACATATCGGTGTGAAACTAAAAGGAAGTTATTCGATAGGATAATGAGAAACTACTCATGTTTTCGGTTTTCAGTAGTTGCCAGATATTCTGTCTTGCTTTTTATTCACTAATGTCATCATCTATTAGTTACCATTTTCAATCTTTCAAGGTAGAAACTTATATTGTTTGGGGGAATTAGAGGTTGACAAGGTAATAAAAGATCCCAACATGAAATTTAAGATTTATATGAAAGATTTTGTGCTTCCCTATGAGCTGTAAAGTCATTTTTATGAACTCAACGACCAACATTATCTATAATCACATTCAAATCTTGATTATGACATTACAATCAATTATATAGAGGTTTTGATATTAGGAAATCTCTAATCTTCGAGTTTCTGTTGAAGTGAGAATAAAAGATGAAACTTTTTTGGATGAAATTCATCACTTCATGTATTGTCGTTCATAGTTTAAATTTTTTGCTCTATGCAGGTTAGTTTAACTATCATTTGCTTCATTCTTGAGTTCCTTGATTAAAAGGGAGTGGGATCTTCGACCAAATTGGTATATGTTATCAACTATCAATTTTTATGAAATTTCAAAATTTGTTCATAAGTTACATTTTCAATTTAAATTGTTGTTGTTAAAAAACAAAAAAAACCACCGTAAGGCAACGTTTGGCAAATGTTGCCAAAGACCGTCTTTCGCAACATTTGCCAAACGTTGCTGTAGGGTGGTTATTGAAACATTTACCAAACATTGCCGTATCTCTACGGCAACGTTTTTTAAACGTTGTCGAAGACT